GATGCAGTGGGAGTAATGCGGGAGTTAAGAGTGTTTCGAAACTCACAGGTAGCAAAACATTTTTCTTTTTTTTTGACAATCACACGGTATTTACTACTCGGTCATCAATGTCTTTCGTATTTAGCTTATTTGATACATGGGTTTAGCCAAGCTTAAAAGCGGAACTCCCATAAAATACTTATCATTTACTCGACACAATAACCTTTAAAGAAATTCATCAATAAGCGTTTCACAAAACCGAATAGAATAAATTGAACAAAACGAAGTAATCTATATGAACACAATACGCATATCTTTACATCCGAGTATCAAATAGCAAATCCTGCCTCAACGAAGGATGGCCGAATTGAAGAAATGTTTTCCAAGGTAAATCCAAGAAATGCATTTAGAAGCTAAAGTCCATCTATTCAAAGACGTGGGGTGTTGAGCAGGTAAAGTGTAATTTGAATATTAATTTGTAATTCGAATATTTGAATATTATCCGACGGTTTTGCAGTCATTTGATCGTCCGTAGTTTTACAAGTCTTTTGCCAATAACATTTAAAGAAATTCACCATAAGTATTTCACCAAACCGAATAAATTAAACAAACGAAACGAGGAAATCTCCATACGTTGTAAACAATATGCAAATCACCACTTGCGAAGGTCAAAAAGTAGATTCTATCTTGGTTTCCAGCCGCAACAGAAGAAGAAATTTTAGCAGTGTACGAAGCGGCTGTGCCCACTAATAAAAAGAAAACTTCAAAACTTTCCTTGGTAGTAAGCTTGTTAGCAAATACGCTTTATTATTTTTAGACATGAGGTTATCGGCGAAAATCGATACAAAACTATTTGTTTACAATTCAGTTTACAAGTGTTATTGTTTAGCGGGTTGCCGGAACTCCGCTAAAACCAGTAAATCTTAACTAGATTCTTTGAAAGGATATCCCATCTGTTAAAAAACATCAACAAGGGAAGCCACTTGCATTTGAAATGTGCGCTGGGTGCTTATCTTTACCGGTTCATGATTGCTTTTTCTTTCTTGTTCAATTAACGCGCATTATTTACAGGTCACCGTCCAACTACATGTGAGGACTCAAAAGGTTGCTGATGATCGCTTTACTGGAAGAATCTTTCTCGGTGTCTTCAAAAATGATCCATATAACAATGTTGCTTTTCTTAACCGGTTCTCAAGGTCATCCAGCTTGGCAACCCGAGCTCTGTCCGCTTTATTACTCAAGGAATCCTTACCAGTGTAAATTGAAGTCCTTGCTTTAAGTCATTAATCTCACCCGACAGGTTAGCTGTTATGGAGTTTAACGCCTAAAAAGACATCATGGCGGCGTTTGGCTCTCTGAGTCAAGCTTCTCGATTTTCTCCACCAAACTCTTGACCAGTTAATTCGTCAAAATTACCATCAGTGGACATTTCGCCTTGGAAATTGGCTGTTCCCTTCCGTGACCGTAAATTATTTTTGCTCATGCTCGCCAGAGTTTCAGATCGAGTTTAGGAACGGAGCACCGAGTGGCACTTCCTAACACATTAACATTTCCCAAGTCTTGATAGCTCAGTTGATAGAGCACTGCACCGGTATTCACAGAGATTATTGGCTCGAATCCCGTTCAAGCCTGAATTTTTTTCAAGCGCTTTTCTCGCAAGGGCTTAAGTTGTGTTGCTGATAATCATCACATTTTTAACTTATTTAAATCTTTTTCTACCATACAAATTTTAAGATCTTTCATATGTTCAATTGCGGAAAAAATTATCTGTGTGCCATAAAGCTACAGGAAAACCTTGAAAACATAGAAAATAATTCAAAATATGTCGACCGGCCATATAACAACCTGATTGATTCACTTAAGTTATAATCATGTGAATTAACATAGCCATGTCATAAAAGGAATTACGGGGTCCAAGTTAGATAACGTTTAGGTTGGGGATAGTGACAGGGTGAGGTGTTAGACATATGCCTTTAAAAAAGGCACTTTTCTTCAAGCCATATTAAAGCCATTTCAACGCAATCATATAAGCAGTGGCGACGACGGAAAGATGTTTCGTCGCCAAAGGGTTCCGAGTTCAATTCTAGATTGTGGCTCGCAGTGTTTTGGAAAAAAGTAAAGGTGTCTGGTTGCATTAAAAACGAAGCAACTGCGGAATCTGGTCATTTTACGTTGTTTGACACGCGGAAAGCAAAGAAATGGAAGAAAAGGTGTCGCCTCTCGTTCTGGTTGCTAAGCTATTAGAGAGCAAAAGATTTGGGTTTTTTTTTCATGGTATCATTAAAAATGTCTCAAAGTAACCTTGGCACCTTGGAAACGAAAAAACTTAGTGGAAAAACTACGCGGTTTAAAAATTCGCACATCCCGGAAATATAATATTCGCGCTTTTTTACATGCTCATCGGTCACCATGTTGTACACATCATCATTTAATGTGATTACTTTTACGGGATTGTCTTCACCACAATTAATTTTGGAGTCTAAGCAGCGCTTCCTAAATTTACGTTTTCTTTAAAGGGAACTCGAAATTAACTACGAGCGAACTGTAGTAGATGCTGAGCATCTACGTAGCGTTTTTGAGAACTTTCTTGAAGAAAGTGTCAGTGATCCAAGTCAATTCTTAGGCACTGTTAGATCAATATTTTACTAAAATGTGTGTGGAATGAGCGAAAAAAAATTATTAGCATGTGTCGAATAAAATTTTTGGAATGTTTTTTTTCAAAATCACACTTTGGTGGATTTCACTTCCGTCCGTTCCCAAATAACGATACTAAGTCCAATTCTAGCTCTGTCAAAAGAAAGGGTTCGTGTGAAGCACAAGATCAAAGGAAACGTGATACTGGATTCTTTTAACCCATTTTATTTGATACATACCAGCGATGCAGTAACCCCTATTCTAGTTGCCATTTTTATACAAGTTATGGTTTTGGAACCTTAACTTTGAACATCATTTGATGTTAAGCTTTGCCCCTCTTATTTTCTGATGTGAACAGTTCAGTTTTGTTCACTGAACGAAGATGTATCCAATGGCCTTGATGAATTCGTCTCCACTATCTCCTCCGTGCTGAGCCACGTTCCCACACGTGTTGGTGTCGTCTGGATATCCTCCAGTACCAAACCCGATTCTGGAGTCGCTGGAGATGCAATCATTTTCATTGTTGCCCACAATGCCTATCCGTGCCTTGGATGAACCGGCATTGTCACTCAGAACATTGAAACCTTCTCTTTCGCAGTTTTGCTGCAGGGAGGCTTGAGAACCGATCAGTTTCTTCCATTCGTCGCGACCCAGATTGGTGGGACGGTATTTACCATCCTGAATCAGGGAGTAGAGCGAGCTAGCCTCCTTGTCCAAAAGATAGAATCTGTTTTCTACCCCAATCTTTATCCCAAGGCAGATCTTGGTAAAGGGTGTGGCCCAGTAGGATGGTAGCTTGGTCTCCATCTCGTCCAAACCAGTTTTCCCTTCAGGGATTCCATATGATTTCAGGTCGGTCCAGTAAGATGAATCGTAGTGGAACGTTTTCTGCAAGACACAATTAAGCAATTAACTATTCGGACCAATTCAGCCTATTTAGCCAGGACAGGAATTTTTGATAGTACCCAAACATGTTGATAATTCCTTCTAGCTTATTTGATAGTTACACATTATGTTTTATAATTACGTCAATTTAGATATAGAAGCACTCATCCTTAAACATTTTTTTCAAAAATAAATAATTACTTACATTACTTTCAGTACAAGTTGGTTACATCACTAGCAATAATCCACCATAAATAACTAATATTACTCACATTACTTCAGTTACTACGTGGCAAAAGTAGCCTTTTTGGGGATCATCAGTTACTACGCTTTTGTACAAATTGACTAAAAAATTGGATTGGTTCAATATTTCATCTTGTTTTGACAATCGATCCGCTCTTCAGTTTTATATACCTGAGATTTCTTTTATTTATTTTTACTGCTTTAACTGTATTTTTTAATTTTCAGCGCTTTTAAACCAGTTCGTCCGTTAAAGACTGTAGTCAAGACAGCCGAAAGCTTGTTTTAAATATATTTTTAGCTAGAGAACGTTCTTATATTTCACCTTTATTATTAGTACTGTTTTTCGTATAGGTAAATTTCAACTGAATATATGTGCACAGATTTGAGTGTAACTGGCTTCATCGTCGCAGAAAATATAGACGGAAGGTATTAACGTCTTCGCAATATTCATTCCCGACTTTGACGACTGCACTTCAAATCTTGATCGAACACAGTTAGAAAATTTCTCGGTCAAATATGGCCTTTAGTTAAGTTCTTCAGGCGAAACTGCAAAATTTGGACTATCTGTTTACAACGTAAGGGTTAAGCTGTACCTTTGAGCTGTCAATTTTCATGACCATGGTCCATCCACCGCCACCACATTCGCCAAGGTCATCACCATCCATGTAGCAGTATACAGGAAGCTTCTCATAGCCAAACTGAAGCATGTATGCCTTGTTTTCGGTTGGCCTTGAAAGTCAATATGAATACAACATGTTTCTTGTAGCCTCATATTAAAGCTAGATGAATCAAATAGAAACTGGTTCTGGTGGCTCGCAACGGTTTTTAACATATCCCAATTCTTCATTGATGAATCAATGCTACCTCTCTATTTCAGTTGATACTATGACAATGATACCAACCAAATTGCCAATCATTGGTTAACAAGTTGTGGTCATTTTGTTACGCAAAAGCTTACCATAGTAACAGTATAACTTCCTAAAAACACCCTTAATTTTATCTTTAAGTGCTGATAATTAGAAAACGAGTCCGATGACCTTAAAGTTTTTAAAAATTTTTTTTGGCCTCCAGTTTTATTATATTCACCCCCCAGCAAGGCCAATTTTGATGTATGATTTAAATTATTTTGCAATGTATGATAAATGTGTCTAAGAATAATTAGTGATGCCACATGGTAAATTATGTTTATAAAGGGTACTGCTTAATAGAATTATCGCTAAGGGACCGGTCATTATTTATCGCCTGGGGGCTGCGGAGTTTTTTGGGCTGAACACGGCGAAATTTAGCCGATCCTCCCTTTAAATGTTATATCACCGAAGTGATCCCCCCTCAACACTGTTGACAACTGTCGTGATCCTCCCCCCATGTCTTCGCACACATATTCAGCTTTTCAGGTGTATATTCAGTGTTTTTTGACATTCAGGTAGAAAAGCGAAAGGGGCTCTTTCATGAAGACCATACCCCGAAGACGTTTGCAAGCGACGAGCTTAAATATTTTCAAGAAGCTCAAGAGCGAGTGAAGGTGCTGTACGAAGAACTCCAGAAAGCCTCCAATATGCT